ATTGATGTTGGTAGTAATACTCGTAAGATCAGTTGCAACTGAACAGAAAACATTAAATAATTAAAACAAACTCACATAAATCAAAATAATAATAAATTCAAATAAAGGTAACCCCATTTCAAGATACCGATGTTCCATTAATATTTTATTTTTGGACAAAAATATTAACTTCTAAATGATATCTTGGTGCAGTAATAAATACTGATAATAATAACATGTCAAAAAAATAAATTTTTCTTTGGACCAATTTATAAATCACATGTAAAATTCAAATAATTATCACGTATTTATTACCACAAGTGCACATGTAATTTTATTAAATATTGACCTTCCTTTGGACCCATCAATAATCATAAAATTACAAGTACCCAACTAGTTATATTTTAAAATAAATTAATTTCCATAATAGAGGTCACTTTGGTGGCATATTCTTTCAATTAATTTATTCCAAAATATATATAATCATACCAATATTCAAATTTAAAATTATACAAATTAAACAAAAATTTTGATCAAAGTCAACTTTGGTCAACTCTGGTCAAACCAATCAAATTGGATCAAAACTTATTGGACCAAAGGTCCATATCCATAATTTGACCCAAATTTAATCATTCAAGCCCAAATTTTTTTTTTTTGAAATCCATAAGTAGTTTACAAAATTACATATTTAATGGGCCACACATATGGACTTTATAGGGCTTAAATATCTTATATTAGGGTTCACTTAAATTAAAGAAACCCTAATATCCTTAACATAAATATAAGCATATAGTTTCTCAAACAAGAAACAAGTCACATAGTCCAATTTCAAGGTCAAAATGTCAAAGCTTAAAACGCAACTAATCAGTAAGCAATCAATGCCCTTGAGTTCATATTATAACTTTGTGTCAAGAACATGAAAGTCATATCATGACTAGTGCTGTCCAAGTTTGCAATTAAGTGATACAACCAAATTAAACAATCAAGAAAGCTCAATGCCAGAAATACGAGCCAACTCAAATTTTTTTTTTTCCATACTGGATTACGTATGAGCACGGCCACGTGAATGAGACAAGAACCACAGAGTCAAAGAAAAAGACTTTACGCAACAACAACTCCATTGTTCAATACCTATGGGGCCTATGATCTATAATATATATTATGCTTTAAGGAACAAAAGAGTCCTCTTGCCGTCTGGTCTATTAACCTTATGCTTTTACAATTTATGAAACTTGGAGTTTTGGTCAATCGAAAACACCATACAAACAATCAACTGGCGACCGAAAATTTAAACACATAACAATCATGTATTTAATCGCATCAGAGTCCGCAGCCAGTAGTTATGAAAACAGAATCAATAGTAATAAAACTATGAATTGTATAGTTTTCCTATGATGGAATAGTTTTCCCTCGACTTTCGTGTCGAAAGTGGAAATGGTGCTTTCTTTTAGAATTGAGATTACGTACCACGACTTCAATCAAAAAACGACCTTTGAGCTCTCTTTGAACATTATTTCAATGATTTAGCAAGAAATCTCTTTGAGAGTGGGTAGCAAGAAAATATTTTTCTTTATAACCTTGGTCAAGCACTTAGGTAATTGTGGTTGTACATGTCTCAGGTGGTCACAAGAACGCCGAAGAGCTCGTTTGACTTCTCGCTTTGCTCTTGTTTGCCTTGACTTTTGGTGAGTGTCAAGGGCATGTTAAATGCTAATGTGTTTGAAATGATATGTGTACAAGTGTTATATATGATACACGAATTTGCCGAGGCGAGGGTGTACTTTATTGCCCTCGTCCTCTCTCTCTCTCTCTCTCCTGATTACATGATACTTGTTAGATGAATATATACGACTTGCACTTATACATAAACATGTTTTAAGTCATGAGCACTGAGCGGCTAAAAGTATCACACCCTATTGGGGTGAGAGGTACCGCTTATCCCGACTCAGTGCTATGATCGACTCTAAGTTGATTGAAATGTTGTCTCATCGACTCTTATACTTGTGGGGACGCCCCAACCCATTGGCTAACCTTGTAACTTGAGCCGGCAAAGGCTTGGTCAAGAAGTTTGGTGAATTTAGGAAAATATTATAGTTTAATCTTTTGATATCTCGTTTGGCATACTCGAATAGTATCGCCACTTCATACATGTTTGGTTCCGGATCCGAGTGGGTGTTATGTTGGATGAAAGAAGTAAGTGGAGTACTATGATCGTGTTACTACTTGGGTTGACGGAGGGTCAAATCCAGATGGCTCAAATTGATCGAGACGTGGGAATAGCTCCTGAGAGTTCCTGTATCCTCCTTGTATTAATTCCTACTTGTGCACTTGAATGAAATGCCATGTTTAAAGTTGCTTTCAAGCACATTATTTGATTGATTGGTGTTACTTGCTTGCTTGTCTGTTTTCTTGACCTCACTAAGCGTTCGCTCATCCCTTTAAGTTTGTTTTCCTTAACAAGCTTTGGAGGTGGATTGGAGGTTTTAGAGTAGCGACCTGGTGAATGCTAGTATACCTTTTGTATGAACTTTTGATGGCTCTTTAAGTGTAATTTTATTATTATTGGTTGGTGGATTGTAATCGTAACTTTTAGCTTTGAAGTCATGGCTTGTATATTCGAAATATTTCTTATTTAAATCGATGGTTGTTTTGTGACTCTATATTAAGCTTGAACGAGTGCGTAAGTTCTGACGAGAGTTGGGCAGGCGTCTCGCTGATACCCTAGGGAGAGGTGGGGGAGTCACATGAATGACAATTAAATAAACTACTATATATATCCTGATTAACATTACTTGTAAAGGATCAAATCCTTAGGTTTCATATTCATTGAAAATAAAATTCATGTTTTCCTAATATGGACAAGATTGTTCAACTTAGACCACTTATTTGAATGTAAAAGATACTTTTTTTTTAAATGTAAAAGATAATTCCAAGACTACAACAGGCCATTTCTTCTATTTACTCCTATTCTTAGGTCAATTTCTTCCTTGACATCCAAATTTGCCAAAGGATTTAAAATAATAATATTACAAGATCCTTAAGAGGTGCTCTCTTTGAGTCCATTAATGGATCTATTGGTTGGTAGAAAGTCATGGGTTGTCCATAGCCAAAGTTATTTCCCAAAGTAGATGCTCGACAAATTCGTTTAGCAAATGTACACTCTAAGAATATATGGGAAATGATTCATTCTTTTTTGTGCAACCCAAACTTAAAAGGGGCAGTGAACATCATCTTTTAAAATGAACTTCATCGGTTGGGTCAAAGTTTAAGATTAGTCTGGATTGCTAGGGCGAACTAATTGAACAGTCAATTGGGTAGCTATCTGAGTCGGGTTATGTTTCAAACTTAGTAGAATTAAAAAAACTAGTTTATTTAGTGAAAATCAGTTGACTCAACTGATTCAATCAGTGACCATCCAAGTGGTTGCTAAACCAATCCGATTCATTCAATTGGTAAAAATTAAGGGGGAAAAAGAAAAAAAAGTTGACAAAAAGTGAAAAAGGAAAATGTAACCTAGAAACTAACTAGATAATCGTAGCATGCAGTTGACCAAAGTCAAGACCTAAAGCTCCAATATGCTTCCTTTCTTTTATTGCTATTTTTTTAATCTAATTTTCTTCAATTTCCTCTCACACTAATCATCCCTCTCTTCATCATCTCACTGTTAATCCCTCAAATTCCTCCAACACAGTATAGTTTTGTGCCTGAACCATATATGCTGGTTTGATTTCTTAATCTATAAGTTTTTTTAACTTTGCAATTTACTAATTTTCTAAACTAAGGCTTAAAATCTAGCCTTGTATTTGCTTTAATTTTGCAATTGTTATGCTTCGAAAGATTGGTCATTCATGACCTTGATTACATGGGCATGTACTTATTTTGATTCAAATTTGTTAGATTTTCTTCATCTTTTGTTCTTATTCCTTTTTTTTTCAGCTTTGTTAGCATTGTTTACCATAGAGGTTATAGTTACTGAATTGTTAAGTACTAAATTTGATACATTTGAGTGTGTATCACATTAAGGATGTGTTTGATAAAATTGAAATTTGAAAAACTGAAATATGAAATATGAAGTTTGATTTTATTAAGTTACTAAATTGTTAAGTACTAAATCTAATACATGTAAATGTGTATTATATTAAGTGAAAAAGTGAATAGTTTATCACTTGTCTTTTGAAACAAGTTTTTTTTTTAGGAAATTCAATACAACTTAATTAATTTAGATGTTTTATTTTTAGTTATTAAACGTGTCTGAATATGTTAAAATCTGAATATATTAAGTTTAAATATTGAATTGAGTTATCAAACAGTGTCTAAGTAATAATATTAAGTTTAAGTGCTAAATTTAATTATTAAACAGTGCCTAAGTGATTAGTGAATAATTTATCAATTATTTTTGGGAGCAAATTTTATTTAGAAAATTTAATGTCACTTATTTAATTAATTCAGATGTTCTATTTTTTGTTATTAAACATGTTTGAACATGTTCAAATTTGAACCCATTATATTTAAATATTGAATTAGATTATTAAATAAGACCTAAACATGTATAAAGGGATGTACACATTGCACATATGGTACAAATAATAATATATAATTTATTTATTTATTAGGTTATGGGTACTCCAATGATTGAATTAGTAGTCTATGACCTTTTTTTTTCTTTTTGAAGGATAAATACCCTATGACCTGATAACTTCCCCAGTTCAATAAACAGTCTAGGTTTTAAAACCTTGGTTATGGATTTCTAGAGATACTTTAGACTGGTGCTCCAAGTTCACCACGAAGATTCTGGCAAAGATATATTCGAAAAACATAGGGGATGCTGGAAAATTCTAATACCCTTCCCGTAAGAAGTATAACTTTCGGGAGTAGAGGGGGCGGATTGAAACTAAAATACAAATAAAGGAGCCATTTCATAATAAACCATTTCATATTTTAACTATAAACATGCATCTTTTTAACTACAAATATATACATTTTACATAAATAGGCATTTACTCCACCTATAAATATATCACTTTCTTTCTCCAGTTCAAGTTCTAGAAAACGCCAAAACCAACCACTAAAGAAACCGACAAAAATTCGATGAAAACTTTCTGATTTTCTTCCTCTCTTCAAAACATTGAGAAACCGTTTTTTGAGTAATTTCGCATTGGTTTTCGATTTTCTCCTTTAGGATTTTGTTTCTTTGGAGTAAAATCTTTGCAATTTGAAAATGGCGAAAGAATCTTCCGACGGCAAAACGGCGACGGCTCCGTCGCTGGCGTCGTCGTCTGCGGCGGATTCGTACATCGGAAGCTTCATTAGTCTGACGTCGAAGTACGAGATTCGTTACGAAGGAGTTCTCTATTATCTCAACCCTCAGGACTCCACTCTCGGCTTGAAAAACGGTAAAATATTTCTGTCATTTATTTTAACACTTCTTTAACTGTTTAGTTTACGTTTCTATTTCTTCTTGTTACAATTTTCTTGATTTAAGAAACGAAAGATTTTTGTTTTCTTTGAATAAATGCACTGCAAAATTAATGCAATTTGCGCATTTTTTCCCCTGAGGTTCTAGTCTGTAGAAGTTTATTATAGTTAATGTGTGGAACTTCTTCTTAATTTCTATCGAAATCTTCAGTTCAGATGCATTTCCTTTACCTGAAATAATTATATTGACGATTTTTCTCTTTTGTTGTAGTTTAAATAGTTATTGTACGAGACCTTGTTATCTCATTAGATAGGCGAGTTGTATTGTTTTTTTTTTTTTTGAAAGAAATTTTGTATTGTTTTAGAGATGAGTTAAGGAGATAGTATGAAGAATAATCTATGCATATCTTGAAAGAATTAGCTGTGGTAGACCTCGAGATATAGGCATGTTGTGTTGGGATGATGGAGAATTACTCGCCGGCGTAAATGGAAAAGAAGTGATCTTTTCATGTTGAAAGGAAAGGAATGGGACGAACAATCCATATATTGGTCATGGAAACTTGTGTAGGGATTGCTTAGGTTTTCATCAATGTGGAAAGCAGACATGTCTTTGATTGTTGTGGTATATGTCAAAATCTTGTATTGCAAGTTCTTTGTTCCACTGGATTTTCGTGTATTGTGCTATGTTTTGAGTTACATTGTTTTTATGTTCTTAAGACTCATTGTAGCAAGTTGAAATTGTGAAGAGGACATGTCTGGAGGGTTTTTTTTTTAAATGATTCTTGTAGCTGAGACCATTTCATCATTGACAGAGATTTAACTTGAAATCAATGGTTAAGAAGACAAGTAGATAGCACAATTGAGCAAGATATCCTTTCAACATATTGATTCTTTATTCTTGATTATAGTTTTGATCGTTTATATCATGTTTATTTAAGTATTCACATAGTCACATATTTTGATTGTGGCTATATTCTCATGTTACCTTTCATAATTGCTGGATTGCCATAATATGCAGTTAAGTCATATGGAACTGAAGGGCGGAAGAAGGATGGTCCGCAAATTCCTCCAAGTGATAAAGTCTATGAATACATTTTGTTTCGTGGAAGTGACATCAAGGTAAATTCTCTATGTTTTCTGATCTTATTTAATTTATGGAACTCATTGTGTGTGACTGATCCAATATTCTTTATTAATTTTGGTCCACTTTCAAGGTTATACAGATGAAATAATGCTATTCAACAATTGGTTTCTCCTTTTCTTTAAGAAAGTAAGAGGGATTTGGTTTTTCAGAACTAGTTTTATATATTGGTCATTTGCTATTCTCTCTCTCTCTCATGTGATTTGTGAATCAGTTTTTGGGTAGTGACATTTTGTTTTTCTTACATAGTTTTGTTTCTTTGTGCATTTTGCTATTAAATTTCACTGCAGATAACTGTAGTACTTTGTCAAAGTATACCTTTGATCATATTTGGCAGTTGACTATTATTTACTCTTCCATATTCACCTTCCATTAGCAATATGAGGCCAGCCAGGACCTTTTTTTTTTTTTGGTTTTTCAGTATGCCTTTCTGGTTAGGCTCTGTATGAAATCTATTTCTGTGGATAATATTGAGGTCTTTGCAACTGTTCATGTCCTACTCTTGTGACTTGATCTTCCTATACATATTATGGTGATTTTTAGTGCACCCTTCAGATTCATGTGCTACTATGAGCAATGTTGTAAGTTACAAGTCTCTGCAGTTTGTAACTAGTCTAGTATTAGGAGCAAGAAGTGAAGGACATGGAACAACCAAGCTTCCTGGCATAATTAAACACAATAGTGAACAGGCCAAGATAATCAACATGATCAAGAGTGGGGCAGTGTAGAGCTTGGAAACCTTACACACAGAACTCAAATGTACCATGAGATTGTTTTGGCTCTTAGCAGTCTGTTCACAATATAGTTTCAGTTCTTACAAATCAATGAGGCTGTCAAAGGATATCCATCTATTCTGGAAAGACTAGGATGCAGATTTGAGACTTAAATAGCATAATCAGCATGAAAGTAAATAAATCAGATAAAGGTTGAAAAGATGGATGATGGAGATTTTACAAAAGCAGAGGGAAAAGGTTAGATCATTTATCATGTCCCATTACTGCATCTCATATATAGTTCATGTCCCCTTACCTAGTGGCACTTATTGAAATGTGTTCCAGGAGTTTCAGAATTTGGAATTGAAGCTGAGATGGGAAGATATTACTTTGTCATTGTCTAATGGTGGTGACAAGTATATCAGATTTTCTGTTTAGAAATATATTTTTAGCTGTCTACATTTTTTTTCTTTTGGTTTGACTAAACAATTTGCCTCTATTTGCAAGGTTTTGGGCCTATTATTTCTTGGCCAAACCAGTTTGATAAACATCATGGTGGGGTTCATATATCATCATTGTGTATTACTCAGTTGTATTCAACTTTTTGGTTGCACTCCTGGAAAGTTGGCTGGAGTGGGGCTTCTGTTGGTGCATTACAATTCAAGTTTATTATCACATCATGATGATAAAAGCATCTTGTTGTACTTCTTGATTTTTCTTTAACTAGTGTAGCTCAAAGTCCAATTGTTTCATACTGTTTTGTATGTTGCATGTGGTAATAACAAGATAGTCCTAGAAAAGTGTAGTATCTCCTGAAAAATCTGAAGCAACAATTTTGGTCTTTTATGGTAATGGCACGACTACTTTCTCTATCTTGACACTGTAGTTGGTCTCTGATGATAATTTCAACTTAGAGCTTCTATTTTCAGCTCCATCATCAAAAAATAAAGTTGGATTTTAGAAAATCTTGAATTTTTTTTATTCAAACATGTGTCCTTATTGAAGTAATTTTTTTAATTGTTCTCTGCATGCATGTGTATATTTGGTTCTTCTATGGAGAGGCACAGACTCTTTGTAGTTTTAAGAATGTCTGTTGCTGTTCTGGAACAACTGTAGGTTGGAATCCATAGCCATAGTGCTACTTGGTTTAGTTGTTTACCATCAATTTAACAACTTTATACAGAAGTAGGACAATTACAAAACATAAACATGGGTTATAAAGGAAAAGATGAGCATTGCAACATAGTTTTTGTTTATGTAGTAGGTTTATACCTGCTGTTTGTGTTTATTGGGAATCTTTTGGTACTGTCATATGGATGACTGACAAGAAAAATCAAGCAGCTAGTACAAATAGAGTTATATGTAGAAGGAAATGATAAATGTCTGATAAATTTAGTGGCATGTCTCCAAAATCATGCCTATCCTATAAGGATAGCAGGTGGTAGTTTTGGAATTCTTATGTAGTTGACCTAGTATGACAGCTAGTTATTTGGTACCAGTTTGTTAGTTGACATTGATACAAGTTGGTATCAATTGGAATTAGTTTTCTTGCTACACATTCTTTGTTTATAGTCTTTCAACTGTTTCAGTGATTCTATTTGTAAATTCTGGAAGGTGCTCAGGTTTCTTTCCTAGGGGTATGCTCACACCTTTCTGGTAATGGCATGAGTACTCTCTCTTTTGCCACTATAGTTTGGGTCCCTAATGATGAATTCAATTTAGAGCTACTATTTCCAGCTCCTTTATTAAGAAATAAAGTCGTATTGTACAAAAGCTTCAGTTCTTCATTCAATCATGTGGTGTCCTTACTGAAGTAGTTCTTTTAATTGTTTCGTGTGTATATATGCTATTTGCTTTTTAGTTCTTCTTTCTGAGGCCCAAGATTCTTTGCAATCATAAAAAGGTCTCTTCGTATATGGTAAAACCTGTAGGATGAAATGCACAGCCATTGCCCTACTTGGTTTTAGCTATTTAACATTAATTTTATGCTTTTTATTCTTTAGTTTTTGTTCTCAGAGGTCAAACACTCTTTGCAGTTATAAAAAGGTCTCTTGCTATATTATTAGACCTGTAGCATGAAATGCATGGCCATTTTCCTAGATGGTTTTAGATGTTTAACATCAATATATCAAAGTTGTACAGAAGTAGGTCAACGACAAAGTATAGACATGGGGTATGTGGACAACTATGAGCATTGCTACACAGTTAATAATGTAATATCTACGGTTCTCTCTTTCTAACTCTTTTGGTGTTTATTGGTAACATATTGGTGTACTCTTGTGGATGGCTGAAACAAAAATTAATCATCTATTGAAAACAAAGTTATATATATTTGACCTTGTACTTGGACAAAGGCCACCAAAGAGCCAATTTCGGTAAAAGTTTGTATTTTAGGAAAAAGTTTACGAAGTAGAAAGGAAATTATCAACGTCTTGTGAATTTAGCAATCATTTCTTCAAAAACATGTCTATCCTGAAAGGATTGCAGATGCAGACTTGGTACTTTTATTTGTTTAATGCAGTATGAGATTGAGTCATCTGGTACCATTTTTGGTTGAATTGGAAACTAGTTGGTAGCAACTGGAACTAAAGTTTCAGCTACAAATGGTGCATATGTTGTCTTTGAATTGTTTGTTTGCAAGTTCTGGCTCGTGTTGAGTTCCTTTCCAAGGGGCATGTTAACCTTTCAAGAGCAGGAAACGAGGGAACATTTGATGCACCCTAATGAGTGATTTTCATATGAATGACTTCAACAAATTGTTTTGCCAATGCTTTCATCCAACTTTTTCTGCAATTGTGATACACCAAGCAACAGAATAGATTACTCTCTCACTTGATGGATAGAGCAGAGATAGACGAAGAGTGATATGAGTGTAAGTGATTAAAGAAGATGTGATAGCTTAAGACTTGAGTAGTGATGGTGGCATTTAGTAGAGAAAAAATGTATTAAGTTGACTGATTGGAGTGGTAATTGTAGCCACCAAATGGAACAATAGTTTACTAATAAAGCACTGAAAATTGTTAGATGAGATTTTCCTGGTTTTTCTGCATCCATAATCTTCCAACTTTAATACTTCTGATTGGGGGGAAATGCACCATTTATGGAGTTCTAGATATGGTGTTAGGTTTCCTTATTGAGAGTGTGTGCTCCTCTCTGCAGAAGGCAAGTTATTTCAGAACTCCATCTCACGCAAACTCTTGCAACGGGTTAAAGTTTCAACAGTAGGGTGATTATATTTCTTTTAAGTGTTTCTATGAATTAAGCCACCATATGCAATGAAGAGTGGAAATGAAAGGAAGGGTTATTTTCCCCAAAGAGCAAAATAAAAATAGGAATGGACAGCAGCTTTTTCTCATCTTGTTTTACTAGCTATTTAAGTGGATGTGAAGAAGCATTAAACATAGTGATAGGATGGAAAGCAGGGGTATTAGCTAGATATTCTGTGACTGGGAGATAGAAAGACAAAGGAAGGACACAATCATTACAATCTTAACATAAAAAACCTATTGAACGGTAGGTTTAAGTTGAAACATGAAGTACTTAATTTTGTCTTTCTCTTTTCTTTTGTTTCATCCTTGCTCTCTGCATCTGTATGTAAGTTCTTGTAATCAACTTCTTTTTCTTCTGAATTTAGGATTTGCAAGTTAAGTCCTCTCCACCTGCTCATGTAGATGAGCCAATACACAATGATCCGGCTATCATTCAGGTGCTTAAGAGTACTTTAGTTTGTACAACTTGAGATATGAATTATCATTATTGGACTTGGATTGAGGTGTGATTGTTGTACTTAAGCTGTCTATACTTATATTTTTGCTGGTGTAGTCTCAATTTGCCACTGGCCCTTCAAGTTCAGCAAAACCTGTGCCAGCTAGTAGTGGATCTTTGACTAATTACAGCCCTTACATGGAAGCTGCTGCACCGAACATGAGGTCCTATCCTGGTATAATGTCATCACAACCGTCTGGAGCTCAGCTTGTAGCACATGGTCCTTCTCAGAGCCCTCTGAACACCAGTTTCTCATCTTATGCCATGCCAATGCCCTTGCAAGGATATGGTGGGGCCACAAGTGGCAATGGCTATGCTCAGCAACATCAGAACCTATCTGCAACTAATTCAGTTTTGACATTGAAAAATTTTGTAGAGGCACCTCCAATGCAGGCATCAACGACAATTGGCTCGACAAACTCACCCTTTTCTCCTCCTTTGGTTCCCTCTCTTATTGCTTCAAATGTGACACTTCCAAATACTGTATCCTCTCTTACGCCTGAGCAGCTTTCTATGCAGCCAATGAACTTACCATCATTGCCCACAAATTCAGCTCTGTCCTTTCCCCCTGGCATGCTGAATGCTAATACTTTAAATATGTCTTCAGTGCCGTCGTTGGTTCAAAATGTGAATAATAATGAAGCAACAAACATTGGTATGGTGGTCTCTGACCCTGGAAAAAATCCTGCTGCATCTTCGTTTGGGCCCTTACTGAAGCAATCATCAATTTTGCTTACTCCAGATCAGTTTTCACAGCCAAGAGTGGCTGAAATTGCTACTACTCAGAGCGTATTCCCTGTTCATCAGGACACGAGTGCTCTTAATTCAGTGTCCTCCAATTCCTTATCCTCCATAACTACTGCAGCAACTCAAGCACCACTGTTGCCATTACAACAACCTAGGCAAGAGGTAGTGTCTCGATAATTCTAAATTGAAAGTTATGTTTTTAATGTCACCAAAAGTCATGATTATGATGGTCATTTGCTTGTTTGTCTTAATTCTTCTCTTCTAGTTCTTCTATTGTGTTGCAGTAACCAGTTTTGAGGGTTTAAGTTTGCCAGACCTTACACATTAAAAAGTCGTTCCTTTTAATCATGCATACGTTAGTCATTGTTTGGTCTTGCTTCATTTTGTTTCCTGTAATTCTTTGATGTCTTCAATTAAGTAGATTTGAGTGCAGTTAAGTATATTAGACCATGAATTACTTTTCCAAACAAGCTGCTAGTTTATCCTGAGTTAAAGGTATCAATACATCCATGTTTCTCCTCACTTCCCAAAGATAATTTGATCTGTAAGGTTAATGGCTTGTCTTTTTTGAAATGCAGTTATGTTTTAGAACTTTGAATGCTTATCTACTAGAATTTGCATGGACGCTGCCCTTTTATCAGAGAAAATATTTGAGATATCAAGAAACTATAGCTGATTTGTCTTTTGATGGAAGTCTTGAAAAAGATTTCAACACATCCCTGAACCTATGCCATTGACTACTTCTTGGGCATAGAGATTAATGCCATGTCTAGAAATGGTCTAATCTATCATAGGAAAATTTGTGGAAGGACTATATTGACATGTTGATCATGACTGTCTTGTCTGTTCCCTTGTCTGTCATGTGTACACGGGGCACATGCTTGTATGCATATAGCGACATGTTGAGATGTATACGTGTGTGTGTACATACATACATACATAATGTACAGATATATATATATTTATGTATATGTATGTCTATATGTGTATGTGTGTGTGTGCGTGTCTATAGGTAAGAAATCAAATGAAAAACTAGAGCTAAGAATGAATTAATTAATTGTTCTTGCTGCTATAGTTCTTTGCAAAGTAGTGTCCTTGATCTACTGATGTGATATTGTTGACAATATTGCATTGTTGTGTTTTGGTTACTGTTGTCATATTTAGCTTCAACAAGATCTGCTGATGTGATATTGTTGACAATATTGCATTGTTGTGTTTTGGTTATTGTTGTCATATTTAGCTTCAACAAGATTTTGCCAAGGCTGTGGCTTGCCATGATATCGTATGGATTAGTCCAACATGAACAGGGCTGACAAACTGATCTATATAGTTGGAATCAACTTCTTGCTCGATATGCATCTGTCTGCCAATTGCTTGGTTGCTGCACTAGTTATGTTTGTCTTACTTTGGAAAGTGGATTTATTCATCTTGATTTGCAGATGGATATCCTTGAGGATTATCTTTTTGAGTTCCATTTACTGCATCATCATTATTGAAGGATTTTTCCCAAATTGTAGGTCACTTAGCAAAAGCTACAAGAATAGAGGCTATTCTATAACCTGTATAGGGCCCTTTAGCTCATGCCAAGGCATCAGAAGTCTGCACAGTACTGTCTGATTTTGATAAATAAAAAGTTATGCTGTCCAGTAGGATGTTTTCCGTGGTTATTGCTCCCTTTGTACCATTGTTAGCGTCCTACTTTCCTAATTGGATTGGTACCAAAGCTGGTCACTGTCTTTTCCATATTATATTCTTCTAGCAAATTTTGAATTAGCTTCAAAATTCTAGGCCCATTAGCAGCTCTTTTGCATGCACCAATTTCCTACTCAATCGTTGGGAAGGAGATTACAACCTTTGGTTCCAGCCAATTTCTCAGTACATAGTCCTGCTGCTAACTATTGTCATGTGAAGCCAAACCTGAATATAGTTTCTAAGATTAAGCCTACTATTTGTAAAATTGGGACTTCCAAAAGCAACTATTTGTGGATGGACAGAGTAGTTCTTATCATCGGATAGTGATTTAATGTAACTGTCATGACCTAGACCTTTATGTAGTGGTGACAGTGCAGACATAAGTAGTTATTTGGGAGGATAAGATAACTGGTAACAAAAGCAAGCATGACCACAGATAATAGTTTTTATCATCGGATAAGTGGTGACAGTGCAGTTGAAGTAGTTCGTATCATCAGATAGTGATTTGTAAATATCATCCAATAGTGATTTAAATTTCAGTTCTCAACTCATTTCCTATGTAAGTAAAATTTCACCGTCATGACCTACACCGTTATGTTGTAGTGACAGTGCAGCTGAAGTAGTTATTTGGGAGGATAAGATAACTGGTAACAAAAGCGAGCACAACCACCCTGAATTGCTGGTGGTTGCGCCTGTTGCCTTACAAGAATGTGATGATTTGCTTTTCTGAAAAGTTAAGCTGTAGGAGAGATTTTGTAGTGACTACTTGGTTGCTGCGGCTATTGGTTGTGACTTTGTGGTGTTACTTGAAGTTGTGGAAGAAGATGCACATATCAGCTAGAATGTCTAAAGTCTTGCACTTTAAATTGTACATATTCGGATTTGTCATACTCAGTAGAGTGGTAACAGTTGACAGTGGAGGAGAAGTCATTTTCTTTGTGGAAAGCATCTCCACTAAAACAATGCTTAGTACAACCTCCACGACTGCAATTGGAATCAATCTAAAATTGCTGGAATGGAAAGTACTAGCTTCAACCAAGAGCTAGGGGCTAAGGAGCTTTCAAGTCATTGACAGAGAATTGGCAGTAAGGCACCGTAGTTCCCAGTTGTAATGACCCTTGAACAGCAGAAAATTTCTGACTTGATGCCCAACTGTTTGCGGGGGTGAGGGCTGAAGAGCTTGGTTATTTGTTGGTTACATTTGGCAAGTATGAAGTTGTGGTTCTAGTTGCAGACTTTGTTGGAAATACTTTGTTAATTCAGTTGCTCAGGTGCTACGCTAAGGAAAGAATAGTAGACGATTAAGTTATATTGCCTAACGTTGAATGCTTGGCCCTATCAAGCTTCTATTTTCTGAGAGAACATTAACTGTAGAGTAATAAATGCTCTTCTCTAATGTTGTAAGAGTCGCTAGAAAAGTTCTTTTGAAACAAGTAACAGGTAGCAAAGTGGGTGTATTTTTTTTTTGGAATTTGATCTTTAAGGCTTTGACGTATATTTGCACTGATATAAACACATAAGGTGCATATATGTCTAGTATATACAGATTTACATTTAGCTAGCAGTATATACCAGCATCAGCCATTTGGTATGTCCTTTTGGTTTAAAGTTCAAAGTTTGCCTTTTTTTTTGTAGTATAAGGTGCTCTGGTTATACTTGTGGGTGCAAATACATGCATGCACAAACACATGCACTAAGATGAGATGTCGTCTATGTTCACGCCCTACAAGCACTTTCTAAGTCAGTTGCTCTTGTTTTAGACTAGTGAAGCAAGAATGATATTTGAAAATTATGCATTGCTACTGGGCAGGCATTACTCGAGTTTTCTCTGCATTTTCTGCCTTACTGCTCATGAAAGAACAGATTTTTTTTGTGGGGGGGGGAGGGGGGTGGTAGGTGAAAAGGAAAACAAACAGCCTATAACCTGATCATCACACCAATAGAAGTTACATGTCAATCATGTATGTTTTTGTCTAAAATAAGTTTAGCAGGACTTGATTGTTCTGCTTGGATATAAATTGTTCTGCTTGGATATAAACTTAATGCTCTAGGTAACATATATTGTACTGGAGACTTGTCTGTAAATTCAACTTGATCTGGTTAATGTCATATGTCTTGCTCAAATGAAGAGCATTATGCAGGAAAAAGTAATAATTTTTTGCTATCTATTACTTTACTCTTCAGATGGATCAACTTCTGTAGACTTCTATAACTTGCACTGTCATTGAAATCTTGCACTTTAAATATTTTGTTGCAGTTCACTGAAGAATTTGATTTTGAAGCCATGAATGAGAAGTTTAAAAAGGATGAGGTATGGGGTTATCTTGGAAAAGCTAAGCACAGGGACAACATGGAGAGTTTACATGATGATACTATTGTCTGCCAAACATCAGGGGACCAAGAGGGTGATGGTTTGGCTACTGAAGCAGACTCTAAAGTAGGTGTTGGAAGGTTTTCTTTGACTAATTGGTATACTGTGGAAGTTTATTTTTATACATATGTTGTAAATCAGAATGTCTGGACTTTTAATTTGCATCCAGTGTAATATTTTGATGCTACTTCATGCAGCCTGCATATAACAAGGATGATTTCTTTGACTCAATATCTTGCAATACGACTTCCCGTAGAGGTAGGAATGGACAGAATCGGTTTTCTGACAGAATGAAGCTGGACACTGAGGTGTGTTATTCGCTGCATTTGTTTTACATCGTTTGTCATAATATTGGGGTCATTTTACCACTTATTGCTCTTGTTTCTCCAGACATTTGGCCAATTTCAGCAGAGAAATTATCCAGTTTATGGTGGCTATGGCACTGGACGTGGCATGAATCGGAATCCATATGGCTGGGGAAGGGGGTATAACCCCAGCGGAAGGGGCCGGGGAGGGTACATGCGGTAGTAATCCTAGGTGTTCGTTCATCCCGAGATATTCGTCCTTGCTAATCTTACATCTTTGGCAATGTTAATCCTTAGTGTTGTTTGTATCTCATGCATGCTAGGCTTCTGGATCAACAAATCCTGGAACTATGCCAAATGATTTTTGTTTGTATCGATTAGTCCATGCAGTGGCATTTGTTGCCAAGCTTTCTTAGGAACTTTCAGTGTACGGGCAGCTTCATGTTTTTTATGTCCATGAAACAGCCTCCCGAAGACTTAGCAGCCTGACTGTGGTTAAAAGCCTCTCCATAACTTTCGGCCAAGTTTATTTTAGGAATGTAAAAATTAAGATGGGATTGCCAGTGGTTATGTTTTAGTTTTTTCATTTTTTTTAAAGTTGCTTTTTTTTTATTTTTTATTTTTTAAAAAAAGTTGCTTTACTATTCCTGTTTTAGAGGACCTATGAATCTGTGTGCCTACGGACTGCCACCATCTTCAGTTGAGCCGTGGGCATGATACCTGGTCATGGGCGGACATCCGCCCAGGGGCGACCTGTGCCCAAAATGAAATTACAATTTGCAGCTTTTTGACCTGAACAGATTAAGAAGTTCCGAGTATATCGCTCCAAATACGGGTTCATCCAAATCCAGGTTGTTTTTGATAACTAGAGTAATGGTTCGAGACGGATTGTTTTCAAATTGGTTTAATGAAATTAAGTGATTGGGATAAAATTAAATGTGTTTTAAAAGTTATTGTTTTGGTTTACGTTTATATTTGTTGGTATAGTGTTTTACGTTTATATTTGTTGTTTTAGTGTCTATCTTTGGTGTATTATCGCAAATATTGTTTTGTGCGATTGTTGAAGACCCCAGAGCGGATCACCTTGCCTAGAAAGTAGGGAGCTGTCTTTGGTATTGTGCATCTATACTGTCTTGCTTAAGTTTGGATTTTGGACTTCTGGGGTAGCCTTTACAACTCCTCTGGAATTCGCATCTATGCTGCTTTCAAGTTTTCTGCATTTGCCCTTATGGCTTTAGCTGTCTCTTTTTAGGTCCTGGCATTTATCTCAAATGTCTTCTTTGGAAATATTTGATGTTTTGTAAGGGTGAAAATGTCTTCCAATGCAGCTGTCACTTCTCATTTCCACCTCCTGTTTGTCTTCCTAAATCCAGCAGGGGTTAGACCGAGGAGTCACTAGTAGGCCAATGTTTTTCTTTCTGATTTCAGTTTTTGCTGTCATGAGGGTACGAAAATTTTCTTTGCAGAAGTTAAGGAGGGTACCAAATTTTCCTTTTGGAGGGTTCACTAGTTTACAGCATACATGTCCTCCTAATCCGCCTCCCCTTTCCCCTTCTTTTTTTTTTTTAAAGAAAAAAGCAATTGTTAATTAGGAATTGTGATCCGATTCTTGTCGAGATTCTTTAGTCTTGTCTGGATCGGCCCTTCGGATTTATTCCAGGTGGGAACTTTTGGCCCATGGCTTTTGACGAGTCATTATCAAAATGTACAAATGGATAAACATCATAATCAACTAAGATGCACGAAAGAGAGTTCCACTTTCATTAGCTAGGATGGGAATTAGTCTCGTAGTCTACATGTTTGTGTAGGCTCCATTTTAATTAGTTGTTTTTGAGAGTTTTTTGAAAAATTTTACTGTAGCAGTGTATATGAAAAAATTTTTACTATAAAATTTTTTGAAATATTTAATGTATCGTATAGATGATATATTTTTTGAGTTATTGTGTATTACTGTAACATTATATTTGAAAAATTTATTTTTGAAAAAATAGTCAATCCAAACAGAGGGTTGCTAATTGACAAAGAGAAATACAACTGAGCAAGTATTTCACAGTTTACTTGCTCTAGGAATACTTCATCTTATTCTCATGGTAGGACATAGAAAGTCTCTGGTGGGAAGTGAGTTTATCTTTATTCCTTATCCCTTCCTCTTCCAATTTGTCAAGTCCCATTATGATTGAATGGTTTTCAAGTTATTCCAAAGGAAATTATGGAGAAGTTGCTTACTTTGGTGGGCACCAGCTGATTACAAGCCGGTGACTCTAACATCAAGCAAAGGTAGACTCTCCACTAGGTCCACCCTACCTAATATTCACGCCAAATCCGGGCATCAAAGGTTTCCAGCAATATATGGTAGTTTATGCTTGAGACTTGTCCCTTGTCACACTTTTCTCTTTTCTTAATTAAAGGTTTAATGTAAATTCTGCACAATAATAATCTATAATATATAATAGCACAGTTACATATTACTAATATTGCTAAGAACTATTTGACGGTGGTATTTGTCTATTTTGTAACTGCCCTTTCATATATCTTTTTTTACAATTCTATATTATAAGCATGGCATACAATATGAAATATAATTAAAAAATACAACTCCACATAGTGTACTAAATTTCAGCTTTTGTCACTGTCAATTTAGAAGTAATGGATTTAATTTAAATTTTTTTTTTGCGTTTCAATGGAAATTCTCGCCCTTATTAGGGGAAGGGAAGTATACTCCTTTCTCTAGCACTTGTTTTAAAACAGAAAAAAGAATTTTCAAAAAAAAAAATCTATTATTTTGCTAGGCAGATTCGGCTTGTGCATGCACTTTTCTGCCTTCTTTTTCGGCTTGTCTCCTTCTTATTGTAATGATAATCGAAGAAATTGTTGTACCTAAAGTAATCAAAATCAAAATTGCTGAGCCAAGAAAAATTCCATCCTTAACAACGTAGCATTCCCCATCTAACCATCCTTCTCCATAGGGTTGACTCTTACTCATGCTGGCAGCTGCACCTAATAATATAATAGTGACTCCAAAGCTGATCCTGCGCACGCCAATTAATTAATGAACTTCTAAAATGGTAGGAGTGCTATTAATATATATATATATATATATTCAAGATAAATCTCATGGTAACTAAGGTTTCTTTTTATTTTTTTGGACAAATCTCATCTCACATACGGGGAGGGATGTCAGTCCTAATTTTATTAATAATCCAAAAAATAAATAAAACTAGGAGGGATGACAAAGGTTTCTTCTTGATGCTAACTATGAAATTTAAACTTTATATCCTTATAGCTGTCCACGTTCGTAGGTTCTTGTCCATTGGATTTGTCAACAGAATCATTAAATTGTTGATTTGGTGACAAATTATCTGTTCCCATGTGGAGCTGTTTTCATATTTTATTGTGCCCCCAAAAACCAAATATAAGAAGTTTATTAGGGAGTGAGAACCCAGCCCTCATTCAAGACTAAGAAATAAAGCTTTGACTACTCGAGTTTTTTAGATATATGTCGAATCATAGTTAAAGAAAAGGCAAAAGTAAAATAAAATTCCAGATTATTACTTAGTCATATAATTGATACATGTAATGATTCACAGAGAAAATCTCAAATTCTGGGGGATGGGATTTTGTGAATGGAGATGAAGTAATGTACCATGAAAGAACTAAAGAAATGATGACTATCTTTGGTTGCTTTGTCTTGCAGCCTCTTTCATGGCTTCTTGACCGAAACTTGCAGCAAACAAGAAGGTTTCCAATGATTTGAGCAATGAACAGAAACACTAAGGCTGCAACTCCCAAATCAAATCCTTGACTTCCTGCTAAGTAACAAAGCTTCCCATTAAATCTAAGGTCCTCTTTCTACACCAGAAAAACACAAAACAGAATTGAGAAAATCCACATACACAAAAACAATTTTGAAATGGATATGTACAATTTCACATAAACCATACCTTTGATCTCTTGAATTCAGCAGCAAAACACAAAGAAAAAGAGACGAGGCCAAGGATGATGATAAGGGAAAGCAATAGTATTACTGCATAGCTGCAGTGGTGTCTTTCCATATTAACCATGATGGGCCAGTATGTGACTGTGCGTTTCCAATTTTCTTGAACTTTTGGACAGGGGTTGTAATTGTATTCAAGGGGGGAAAGAGCAGACAAAACCAAAGAGAAGAAGTCAAGAAGCCTTGATGTTTTCTCAAAGGGGATATTCGGAAAGAAGAAGAAGAAGAGGAAGAAGAAGAAGAAGAGTTGTTTGGTATTCTTCTATGCTCTTGCTCGTGCCAAACTGCCAATCTTGTCCGGGAATTGTGGCTGGTTGGTCCCCAAGTCTTCTTGCCTTGAGGATGAGGATTTTGAGACTTTTGCTGGAGAAAAATCCTTCAAACTGTTCAGTGCTTGGAAAATAAAGCACCATTCTTGAGTGTATTTAGACAGTTTTTTGTTATGGAAGGTTTGTGGAAGTTTTTTGTGGGGCTTATCTTTTGCATCAGAATGGTAATCTTTTCTCAGTTGGCATTGAGCAGGTCAAACTCCGAAGTCTTTAACCGCTCCATTGGTTTATTGGGTTGGTATAAGGGAGGAAGAAAGTAATGCAAAGCAGCACAGGCACATGTGGGTTGGGTTTCTTGGGTAAAACTTAAGGAAGGCATGTCCGAGGAAGGAATTTTAGTAGACATTATCCAACACAGAATAAAGGGTCATGATTGTTCCTCCAACTAATATCTATCAATTAAGGCAATTTTTATGATGATTAATTGATTTTTGGAGTACAATGTAAGAAATGATAATATAACTTCAACCAAATGATATTTTTGGAATTTTGTATGGCAAGCAATTTGTGGGTCTTGCGAAAAGGTAAAGAAGAGTAATTATGGGACTTTTTAAAGAAAAATTTGCTTTAGTAAGAAACAGAAACTTATGCAAAATGTAACACAATGGTGAGGCGAAATAAGAAGGAAATAAGTTTATGTTATACTAAGCACCTCACTCAAGTAAGAAGATAGAAAGTTCCTGCAGCTTCCTTGAAATTTCCACATATATTTAGGTACACCATTGGATCAATTCAAATCCATTTAATCTGAACAATGTGGTGGGACCAAAATTTAGGCTTAACTCCTACTGGGGGAGAGTGACCCAAACCCTTTGGTACTGGCTTGACTTCTGGGACAAGGATTCAATGTGGTTGTGTTTCATGCGATTCTATCCGATTGATTGTTGTCGTGTTCAAATTTTTGGTGTATAAATCTATTATAATATGTTGTTCCGAATATATGTCGAGCATTTTATTCATATATATCACTTTTATTTCGAATACAATAATATAACGTAATTATATATCAAATAATATAAAAAGTATAATAATCAGATCGAATTTTTGGTGTATAATATATTATACTGTTGTGTCGAATATATGTTAAGTATTTTATTCGTATACACTACTTTTATTTTGAAATACAACAATACAATATAATTGTACACCAAATAATGTAAAAAGTATAATAACTGGACTGAACAATATAAAAACCCAATCGCACAGAGTCCTTTCCCATAATAATGTTATAGTATCTATTTGTGCCTAGACTTTTGAAATTCTGATTTTAGACAAAAAATGACGTATTTTGTCCTTCACTTTTTTTTTTTTTTGCGCTTTAAACTCGAAATGAAGCAAATAATCTATCACATCCTAAAAACGTACCTGTTTTGTCTTAGAAACCAAGAATGGCACGCACGGTCCAACCAAGTACTTATTATTCCAAGGACTGAATGGGAAAATCAAATTCTTTCCCACCAAAACTATAAAGGAAATCAATAATTTCGTCCCTCAAATTTTAGAAAATGTTTACTTTTATCCCTGCATTTAAAAGGATACAAATTGATCCCATGCATTTTTAAACATATCATTTTCTTTCCCAAATTTAATTATAAGCAACTTTTCGGTTGAGTCACACCCACTAAGGATAGGCACGGGTTGGGTACGCACTTGATAAAGCATTTGATTGATTCACCCTGCACCTTGCAAATTAACTATTTTCTAACCTTTACCAACCCCTCATATCACCCAAATCATCGGGTACACATCGTGCCCTTTCATCATTTAATTTTTTTTTAAAATAAAGAATGATGTACTAATTTGATCTTTGTATTTCACATCTTCATCTAAGCATCAACAAATACATAAAATAAAATAAAATTTTTCATGCAAAGAAACTGCCAAAATAATTTAAAAATAAATCCAAAACCAATAAAATTATATTAAAATTTGTTATACAAACTCCGTTATGAATTAATAAAACTTTCTATTCGTTCTTCAACTTCAAGGTCCTTAATCATATACTTTTGAGAGAAACATGAAATTTTAACATTAGGAGTAATTATTTTAATAAGATAAAAATGTGAAAAGAGTGTGATAAGAATTATATAAATTTTCTAGAACAATTAAACTTTATTCCAAAAAATTAAGGTCATGTTTCCAAATCAATCTTGTAAAAATTTTATATTCAATCTTCCGTAATTGGTATACAATTTGCTAAATGAAATTGTTAAGTTATATCTAAAAATGATATTTTGTGTGTGTGTACACACCCGCGGTTCTCAAACTTATAACCCAAATCTGCCTTGCTTTTTAGTAGATACCCAACCCTCCTTTGTCCCGATCAAAAAAAGTAGATCGGGTACCCTAATTTTTTAAATGAATCAAAACGAGTTCCATGGATCAGTGGGTCAACGGGTGTTTTCCCCACACCTACTAACCAATAACCATGTTTGTTTCAAGGGCTATTGTTCAACTAAATGACAAAAATAGAAGCTGATGGCAAACTAAACCTCATTGGTTCACTATTGATACATGTTTGCTTATTTGAAGAAAATAGTTAATGCATGTCTTCCAAACTACAAAAAAAAAAAAAAAATCATCTATGAACCTTTTGATAAAGTAATAAACACAAGCTAGATAAAACTTTTCTTTTTATGTTCATCGATCTTTTATATATTACTTTATTTATGTGTTCGTTGATGAAACTTTTTCCAGCTTGGTGAAATTGTATTAACAATTTTCTTCATATAAGCAAGCTCGAAATAATCTGTATACATTATGTTTTCATGGACTGCTTATTTCACACAAAGGGTAGCATGACATTACTAACTTTGTGCAATCATGAAAAAGTTATTTTTTTACATCAATAGATTCATTCTACAAGGTCCAATTAATTCTCTATATTTTTCTCCATTAGTGTAAAATTGGTACTCTGTAGAAGGAAGAGTGATATTCCACAATAGTAAGTGCTGCTAGCAGATAATGAGTGATTGACTCAGTAATAATTTTCTATACGTTAATAGTATAGGCGCTATTACCATTGGATGCATACGAATTAATATAAATTTAAATTTGAAATCCAAATTTTACAAGTACTGTGCATCTAACCATAATGGTGCGTACACAGTCAGTACTATCAGTATATGAAATATTAACTTTTATTAAACTAGTATTATATCCGTGCTATGCACGAACTGCAAGTGATTTAAAATAATTTAAATTTTAGAATAAAAGTAAGGGTTTGAACATTTGAACTTATGATGCAATCCAAGACTCAAGTTCAAGTGTTGAAGTTGAAGTTATTTCCTCTATTCTTGTTCAAGGTGATTCGCTTGTTGTTGAAGCTAGTGTTCATGAGTCAAGCAAGCTGATCAAGGAATTCTCAGTTATTCAAGTGGAAAGACGTGAAGGCGAAACCTCTTCATGAAGCCTTCATTAATTCGGATCCTTGATCTTAGTTTAGTTGGCCGAATTTAGTTGGTCGAATGAAGCTTAGTAGATAATTGATTCTTACAATCGTTATGGATCAACTTCTGTAGACTTCTATAACTTGCACTGTCATTGAAATCTTGCACTTTAAATATTTTGTTGCAGTTCACTGAAGAATTTGATTTTGAAGCCATGAATGAGAAGTTTAAAAAGGATGAGGTATGGGGTTATCTTGGAAAAGCTAAGCACAGGGACAACATGGAGAGTTTACATGATGATACTATTGTCTGCCAAACATCAGGGGACCAAGAGGGTGATGGTTTGGCTACTGAAGCAGACTCTAAAGTAGGTGTTGGAAGGTTTTCTTTGACTAATTGGTATACTGTGGAAGTTTATTTTTATACATATGTTGTAAATCAGAATGTCTGGACTTTTAATTTGCATCCAGTGTAATATTTTGATGCTACTTCATGCAGCCTGCATATAACAAGGATGATTTCTTTGACTCAATATCTTGCAATACGACTTCCCGTAGAGGTAGGAATGGACAGAATCGGTTTTCTGACAGAATGAAGCTGGACACTGAGGTGTGTTATTCGCTGCATTTGTTTTACATCGTTTGTCATAATATTGGGGTCATTTTACCACTTATTGCTCTTGTTTCTCCAGACATTTGGCCAATTTCAGCAGAGAAATTATCCAGTTTATGGTGGCTATGGCACTGGACGTGGCATGAATCGGAATCCATATGGCTGGGGAAGGGGGTATAACCCCAGCGGAAGGGGCCGGGGAGGGTACATGCGGTAGTAATCCTAGGTGTTCGTTCATCCCGAGATATTCGTCCTTGCTAATCTTACATCTTTGGCAATGTTAATCCTTAGTGTTGTTTGTATCTCATGCATGCTAGGCTTCTGGATCAACAAATCCTGGAACTATGCCAAATGATTTTTGTTTGTATCGATTAGTCCATGCAGTGGCATTTGTTGCCAAGCTTTCTTAGGAACTTTCAGTGTACGGGCAGCTTCATGTTTTTTATGTCCATGAAACAGCCTCCCGAAGACTTAGCAGCCTGACTGTGGTTAAAAGCCTCTCCATAACTTTCGGCCAAGTTTATTTTAGGAATGTAAAAATTAAGATGGGATTGCCAGTGGTTATGTTTTAGTTTTTTCATTTTTTTTAAAGTTGCTTTTTTTTTATTTTTTATTTTTTAAAAAAAGTTGCTTTACTATTCCTGTTTTAGAGGACCTATGAATCTGTGTGCCTACGGACTGCCACCATCTTCAGTTGAGCCGTGGGCATGATACCTGGTCATGGGCGGACATCCGCCCAGGGGCGACCTGTGCCCAAAATGAAATTACAATTTGCAGCTTTTTGACCTGAACAGATTAAGAAGTTCCGAGTATATCGCTCCAAATACGGGTTCATCCAAATCCAGGTTGTTTTTGATAACTAGAGTAATGGTTCGAGACGGATTGTTTTCAAATTGGTTTAATGAAATTAAGTGATTGGGATAAAATTAAATGTGTTTTAAAAGTTATTGTTTTGGTTTACGTTTATATTTGTTGGTATAGTGTTTTACGTTTATATTTGTTGTTTTAGTGTCTATCTTTGGTGTATTATCGCAAATATTGTTTTGTGCGATTGTTGAAGACCCCAGAGCGGATCACCTTGCCTAGAAAGTAGGGAGCTGTCTTTGGTATTGTGCATCTATACTGTCTTGCTTAAGTTTGGATTTTGGACTTCTGGGGTAGCCTTTACAACTCCTCTGGAATTCGCATCTATGCTGCTTTCAAGTTTTCTGCATTTGCCCTTATGGCTTTAGCTGTCTCTTTTTAGGTCCTGGCATTTATCTCAAATGTCTTCTTTGGAAATATTTGATGTTTTGTAAGGGTGAAAATGTCTTCCAATGCAGCTGTCACTTCTCATTTCCACCTCCTGTTTGTCTTCCTAAATCCAGCAGGGGTTAGACCGAGGAGTCACTAGTAGGCCAATGTTTTTCTTTCTGATTTCAGTTTTTGCTGTCATGAGGGTACGAAAATTTTCTTTGCAGAAGTTAAGGAGGGTACCAAATTTTCCTTTTGGAGGGTTCACTAGTTTACAGCATACATGTCCTCCTAATCCGCCTCCCCTTTCCCCTTCTTTTTTTTTTTTAAAGAAAAAAGCAATTGTTAATTAGGAATTGTGATCCGATTCTTGTCGAGATTCTTTAGTCTTGTCTGGATCGGCCCTTCGGATTTATTCCAGGTGGGAACTTTTGGCCCATGGCTTTTGACGAGTCATTATCAAAATGTACAAATGGATAAACATCATAATCAACTAAGATGCACGAAAGAGAGTTCCACTTTCATTAGCTAGGATGGGAATTAGTCTCGTAGTCTACATGTTTGTGTAGGCTCCATTTTAATTAGTTGTTTTTGAGAGTTTTTTGAAAAATTTTACTGTAGCAGTGTATATGAAAAAATTTTTACTATAAAATTTTTTGAAATATTTAATGTATCGTATAGATGATATATTTTTTGAGTTATTGTGTATTACTGTAACATTATATTTGAAAAATTTATTTTTGAAAAAATAGTCAATCCAAACAGAGGGTTGCTAATTGACAAAGAGAAATACAACTGAGCAAGTATTTCACAGTTTACTTGCTCTAGGAATACTTCATCTTATTCTCATGGTAGGACATAGAAAGTCTCTGGTGGGAAGTGAGTTTATCTTTATTCCTTATCCCTTCCTCTTCCAATTTGTCAAGTCCCATTATGATTGAATGGTTTTCAAGTTATTCCAAAGGAAATTATGGAGAAGTTGCTTACTTTGGTGGGCACCAGCTGATTACAAGCCGGTGACTCTAACATCAAGCAAAGGTAGACTCTCCACTAGGTCCACCCTACCTAATATTCACGCCAAATCCGGGCATCAAAGGTTTCCAGCAATATATGGTAGTTTATGCTTGAGACTTGTCCCTTGTCACACTTTTCTCTTTTCTTAATTAAAGGTTTAATGTAAATTCTGCACAATAATAATCTATAATATATAATAGCACAGTTACATATTACTAATATTGCTAAGAACTATTTGACGGTGGTATTTGTCTATTTTGTAACTGCCCTTTCATATATCTTTTTTTACAATTCTATATTATAAGCATGGCATACAATATGAAATATAATTAAAAAATACAACTCCACATAGTGTACTAAATTTCAGCTTTTGTCACTGTCAATTTAGAAGTAATGGATTTAATTTAAATTTTTTTTTTGCGTTTCAATGGAAATTCTCGCCCTTATTAGGGGAAGGGAAGTATACTCCTTTCTCTAGCACTTGTTTTAAAACAGAAAAAAGAATTTTCAAAAAAAAAAATCTATTATTTTGCTAGGCAGATTCGGCTTGTGCATGCACTTTTCTGCCTTCTTTTTCGGCTTGTCTCCTTCTTATTGTAATGATAATCGAAGAAATTGTTGTACCTAAAGTAATCAAAATCAAAATTGCTGAGCCAAGAAAAATTCCATCCTTAACAACGTAGCATTCCCCATCTAACCATCCTTCTCCATAGGGTTGACTCTTACTCATGCTGGCAGCTGCACCTAATAATATAATAGTGACTCCAAAGCTGATCCTGCGCACGCCAATTAATTAATGAACTTCTAAAATGGTAGGAGTGCTATTAATATATATATATATATATATTCAAGATAAATCTCATGGTAACTAAGGTTTCTTTTTATTTTTTTGGACAAATCTCATCTCACATACGGGGAGGGATGTCAGTCCTAATTTTATTAATAATCCAAAAAATAAATAAAACTAGGAGGGATGACAAAGGTTTCTTCTTGATGCTAACTATGAAATTTAAACTTTATATCCTTATAGCTGTCCACGTTCGTAGGTTCTTGTCCATTGGATTTGTCAACAGAATCATTAAATTGTTGATTTGGTGACAAATTATCTGTTCCCATGTGGAGCTGTTTTCATATTTTATTGTGCCCCCAAAAACCAAATATAAGAAGTTTATTAGGGAGTGAGAACCCAGCCCTCATTCAAGACTAAGAAATAAAGCTTTGACTACTCGAGTTTTTTAGATATATGTCGAATCATAGTTAAAGAAAAGGCAAAAGTAAAATAAAATTCCAGATTATTACTTAGTCATATAATTGATACATGTAATGATTCACAGAGAAAATCTCAAATTCTGGGGGATGGGATTTTGTGAATGGAGATGAAGTAATGTACCATGAAAGAACTAAAGAAATGATGACTATCTTTGGTTGCTTTGTCTTGCAGCCTCTTTCATGGCTTCTTGACCGAAACTTGCAGCAAACAAGAAGGTTTCCAATGATTTGAGCAATGAACAGAAACACTAAGGCTGCAACTCCCAAATCAAATCCTTGACTTCCTGCTAAGTAACAAAGCTTCCCATTAAATCTAAGGTCCTCTTTCTACACCAGAAAAACACAAAACAGAATTGAGAAAATCCACATACACAAAAACAATTTTGAAATGGATATGTACAATTTCACATAAACCATACCTTTGATCTCTTGAATTCAGCAGCAAAACACAAAGAAAAAGAGACGAGGCCAAGGATGATGATAAGGGAAAGCAATAGTATTACTGCATAGCTGCAGTGGTGTCTTTCCATATTAACCATGATGGGCCAGTATGTGACTGTGCGTTTCCAATTTTCTTGAACTTTTGGACAGGGGTTGTAATTGTATTCAAGGGGGGAAAGAGCAGACAAAACCAAAGAGAAGAAGTCAAGAAGCCTTGATGTTTTCTCAAAGGGGATATTCGGAAAGAAGAAGAAGAAGAGGAAGAAGAAGAAGAAGAGTTGTTTGGTATTCTTCTATGCTCTTGCTCGTGCCAAACTGCCAATCTTGTCCGGGAATTGTGGCTGGTTGGTCCCCAAGTCTTCTTGCCTTGAGGATGAGGATTTTGAGACTTTTGCTGGAGAAAAATCCTTCAAACTGTTCAGTGCTTGGAAAATAAAGCACCATTCTTGAGTGTATTTAGACAGTTTTTTGTTATGGAAGGTTTGTGGAAGTTTTTTGTGGGGCTTATCTTTTGCATCAGAATGGTAATCTTTTCTCAGTTGGCATTGAGCAGGTCAAACTCCGAAGTCTTTAACCGCTCCATTGGTTTATTGGGTTGGTATAAGGGAGGAAGAAAGTAATGCAAAGCAGCACAGGCACATGTGGGTTGGGTTTCTTGGGTAAAACTTAAGGAAGGCATGTCCGAGGAAGGAATTTTAGTAGACATTATCCAACACAGAATAAAGGGTCATGATTGTTCCTCCAACTAATATCTATCAATTAAGGCAATTTTTATGATGATTAATTGATTTTTGGAGTACAATGTAAGAAATGATAATATAACTTCAACCAAATGATATTTTTGGAATTTTGTATGGCAAGCAATTTGTGGGTCTTGCGAAAAGGTAAAGAAGAGTAATTATGGGACTTTTTAAAGAAAAATTTGCTTTAGTAAGAAACAGAAACTTATGCAAAATGTAACACAATGGTGAGGCGAAATAAGAAGGAAATAAGTTTATGTTATACTAAGCACCTCACTCAAGTAAGAAGATAGAAAGTTCCTGCAGCTTCCTTGAAATTTCCACATATATTTAGGTACACCATTGGATCAATTCAAATCCATTTAATCTGAACAATGTGGTGGGACCAAAATTTAGGCTTAACTCCTACTGGGGGAGAGTGACCCAAACCCTTTGGTACTGGCTTGACTTCTGGGACAAGGATTCAATGTGGTTGTGTTTCATGCGATTCTATCCGATTGATTGTTGTCGTGTTCAAATTTTTGGTGTATAAATCTATTATAATATGTTGTTCCGAATATATGTCGAGCATTTTATTCATATATATCACTTTTATTTCGAATACAATAATATAACGTAATTATATATCAAATAATATAAAAAGTATAATAATCAGATCGAATTTTTGGTGTATAATATATTATACTGTTGTGTCGAATATATGTTAAGTATTTTATTCGTATACACTACTTTTATTTTGAAATACAACAATACAATATAATTGTACACCAAATAATGTAAAAAGTATAATAACTGGACTGAACAATATAAAAACCCAATCGCACAGAGTCCTTTCCCATAATAATGTTATAGTATCTATTTGTGCCTAGACTTTTGAAATTCTGATTTTAGACAAAAAATGACGTATTTTGTCCTTCACTTTTTTTTTTTTTTGCGCTTTAAACTCGAAATGAAGCAAATAATCTATCACATCCTAAAAACGTACCTGTTTTGTCTTAGAAACCAAGAATGGCACGCACGGTCCAACCAAGTACTTATTATTCCAAGGACTGAATGGGAAAATCAAATTCTTTCCCACCAAAACTATAAAGGAAATCAATAATTTCGTCCCTCAAATTTTAGAAAATGTTTACTTTTATCCCTGCATTTAAAAGGATACAAATTGATCCCATGCATTTTTAAACATATCATTTTCTTTCCCAAATTTAATTATAAGCAACTTTTCGGTTGAGTCACACCCACTAAGGATAGGCACGGGTTGGGTACGCACTTGATAAAGCATTTGATTGATTCACCCTGCACCTTGCAAATTAACTATTTTCTAACCTTTACCAACCCCTCATATCACCCAAATCATCGGGTACACATCGTGCCCTTTCATCATTTAATTTTTTTTTAAAATAAAGAATGATGTACTAATTTGATCTTTGTATTTCACATCTTCATCTAAGCATCAACAAATACATAAAATAAAATAAAATTTTTCATGCAAAGAAACTGCCAAAATAATTTAAAAATAAATCCAAAACCAATAAAATTATATTAAAATTTGTTATACAAACTCCGTTATGAATTAATAAAACTTTCTATTCGTTCTTCAACTTCAAGGTCCTTAATCATATACTTTTGAGAGAAACATGAAATTTTAACATTAGGAGTAATTATTTTAATAAGATAAAAATGTGAAAAGAGTGTGATAAGAATTATATAAATTTTCTAGAACAATTAAACTTTATTCCAAAAAATTAAGGTCATGTTTCCAAATCAATCTTGTAAAAATTTTATATTCAATCTTCCGTAATTGGTATACAATTTGCTAAATGAAATTGTTAAGTTATATCTAAAAATGATATTTTGTGTGTGTGTACACACCCGCGGTTCTCAAACTTATAACCCAAATCTGCCTTGCTTTTTAGTAGATACCCAACCCTCCTTTGTCCCGATCAAAAAAAGTAGATCGGGTACCCTAATTTTTTAAATGAATCAAAACGAGTTCCATGGATCAGTGGGTCAACGGGTGTTTTCCCCACACCTACTAACCAATAACCATGTTTGTTTCAAGGGCTATTGTTCAACTAAATGACAAAAATAGAAGCTGATGGCAAACTAAACCTCATTGGTTCACTATTGATACATGTTTGCTTATTTGAAGAAAATAGTTAATGCATGTCTTCCAAACTAAAAAAAAAAAAAAAAAATCATCTATGAACCTTTTGATAAAGTAATAAACACAAGCTAGATAAAACTTTTCTTTTTATGTTCATCGATCTTTTATATATTACTTTATTTATGTGTTCGTTGATGAAACTTTTTCCAGCTTGGTGAAATTGTATTAACAATTTTCTTCATATAAGCAAGCTCGAAATAATCTGTATACATTATGTTTTCATGGACTGCTTATTTCACACAAAGGGTAGCATGACATTACTAACTTTGTGCAATCATGAAAAAGTTATTTTTTTACATCAATAGATTCATTCTACAAGGTCCAATTAATTCTCTATATTTTTCTCCATTAGTGTAAAATTGGTACTCTGTAGAAGGAAGAGTGATATTCCACAATAGTAAGTGCTGCTAGCAGATAATGAGTGATTGACTCAGTAATAATTTTCTATACGTTAATAGTATAGGCGCTATTACCATTGGATGCATACGAATTAATATAAATTTAAATTTGAAATCCAAATTTTACAAGTACTGTGCATCTAACCATAATGGTGCGTACACAGTCAGTACTATCAGTATATGAAATATTAACTTTTATTAAACTAGTATTATATCCGTGCTATGCACGAACTGCAAGTGATTTAAAATAATTTAAATTTTAGAATAAAAGTAAGGGTTTGAACATTTGAACTTATGATGCAATCCAAGACTCAAGTTCAAGTGTTGAAGTTGAAGTTATTTCCTCTATTCTTGTTCAAGGTGATTCGCTTGTTGTTGAAGCTAGTGTTCATGAGTCAAGCAAGCTGATCAAGGAATTCTCAGTTATTCAAGTGGAAAGACGTGAAGGCGAAACCTCTTCATGAAGCCTTCATTAATTCGGATCCTTGATCTTAGTTTAGTTGGCCGAATTTAGTTGGTCGAATGAAGCTTAGTAGATAATTGATTCTTACAATCGTTAGTTAGAGTTTATGGTTTTAATGTTTTGTCGTTTAGTTGTCTTAATTAGGAATAATTTGTGACCTGCTCATGTTGAGCAAAGTTTAGTCACTTAGTTGTTTCTTAAGTTGTTTAAGAGTCCTAAGACAAATAGAATTTTAGGATCGACTAGGCCTTAGTCAATTAATTTTCCAAATTCAATTAGGATTAGGGTTTCATTTGTTGTAAACCCTATTTAAAGGCTACATTATTTTAGAAATAGGGGACGGAAATTCCATGAATGAAAATTGAGAGATTTTTTTTTCTCTTAAGGCTTGTTGCAAGTTTCTTTTGAATATTTAGAGTTAGGCTCTAGTATTCGTTGACTTTATCAATCAAGAAATGCACTTGATTGTGGTGTCTTCTACCAAAACCAGGTTCTCTAATTCATTCGTTATGGGTTGAGATTATATCAATAAGTTCACAACTCGAGGGTTAGTTGGGTCTAAGGGTTTCTTCCGCTATTCAAACTCTAATAATTCATCTAGATCCGGACGTGTGGTTTACGAGTTCTTCCAATCAAGGTTGAGTTTGTACCAACCTATGTACGTGTTGTATAGGGATTTGAATATTTAACTAATATATACCAATCGGACAACATAAATCAAATTTATTAAAGAATAAATAATTCAATAACCATAGGAAATGACATATATCATTCTCAATTTATATATAACTTAAAAATGTATAGTAAGATTGGGTTTATTTGATAACATAAAAAGTGCTGAAAGTGAACCTTTTCAGACATTCGGAAGTTTTGGGTATTTGATAAATAAAAATTCATATGTTAAAGTGAACCTGTGTGCATTTTTTTCAACACAAGAATCGTAACTGAATACTTTATTCTGATTAGAATCAATATATTTATTTCAACTACCTTTTTTTATCTATCAAATTTACCATTGTTTGTTAATTATGTTCAAAATTCTTATCTAATTAAACAATCTGATATTCTCTGTCTAATGGCTTTATACTTCCCTTCTCTTCCTATTTAATGACTTTTATAGCCTCTTCATACTCAACACATCTTTTTACTCTGTCATATAATTTTATCACTTTCCACCTTCTACTCCTTCATAATTTTGTCATTTTTTTCCTCTCACTTTTTTGTATTGGATTGTAATGTTTTTCATAATATACTTTATCTTTTATATTAATTTGATTTAAAAATAATTATTGTTATTTTCACACCTAACAATTTTAAACTAACTAAATCATAGGTTCTATTTCTTTTTTGGATGAAAAGATAAAAGGTCAAAATTATACAATTAGCTCATTGAGCATTTAGTTATGGATATTTATGAAACAGTATAAATAGGTTGAAGATTAAGGCCCTGTTTGATAATTTAATTCAATATTTAAATTTAATGAGTTCAGATCTTAAAATATTCACACGCGTTTGATAACAAAAACTAATGAATTAGGCAAGTGGCACTGAATTTATTAGGGATAATTTCACAAACCTCCCCTGAGGTTTATGACAATTTCACTCGGCTCGTCTCAAGTTTTATAAATTACAATGACCTCTCTTGTCACAACAAAATGACTATAATGACCTTCACTTAATAAATAATTTACAGTATAATGAAATGAGATTAAAAAAAAGGAAAAGAAACCTGACCTTTTCGGTAATCCTATTTATAAGTTATAGCCAACGACGATTCTCTCTCACTTACTGTCACTTCGTTCTCGTCTATCAACTCATTCCTCCTATAACTCGCTCTCAAATTACCACCAATCACTGCCTATAATTGCAGCCAATCACACCAC